CTCGGGGTCTGGGGGTTGGTTTGGGGACACCGGGTTGGTCCTGGCTCGGGGTCTGGGGGTTGGTTTGGGGACATGGAGCTGGTTTGGGGACACTGGGGCAGTTCCAGTTCAGGGTCTGGGGGGCGGCTTGGGGACACAGGACTGGTTTGGGGACACGGGGTCTCTCCCAGCTCAGAGTCGGGGGGGGTGGTGTGGGGACACAGAGGTGGTTTGGGGACAGAGGGTCGCTCCCGGTTTGGGGTCTGTGGGCTGGTCCGGGGATACGGGGACAATTTGGGAGCACCGTGTCCATCCCAGTTCATGGTCTGGGGGTCGGTGTGGGGACATTGGGCCGGTTTGGGAACAGGGGGTCGTTCCCTGTTCGAGATTTGGGGGGACAGGGCTGGTTTGGGGACACCCGCTCGGTCCTGGTTTGGGGTCTAGGGGCCGGTTTGGGGACACAGGGTCGCTCCCGATCTGGGGACGCAGGGCTGGTCCCGGTTTGGAGTCACGGGGACTATCTGGGGACCCGGCATCGCTCCCGCTTTGCGGTCCGGGGACACGGAGCCCGTCCCGGTGGGGTCCCGACTGGGGCTGGGGGACTGCTATTGCCAGCGTCACCGCTGGATCAGGACCGGGCACCCCGGGACAGCGGGACAGCGGGACAGCGGGACACGGGGACAGCAGGAGCCGGGGCCCCGGGGCCACGTACCGTTGCCGGGGGCGAGGCCGGGGAGGTGGAGCGCGGCGATGGTGCGGTTGATGCCGAGCAGGAGCTGGGAGGAGTTGGAGCCCTCGGCCCCCAGCGAGTCGGCGAACAGGTTCATCTGCAGCAGCGTCTTCAGCAGGTACCGCAGCATCCTGGCGGCGGCGCGGCTGGGCTCGGCTTGGTTAGGCTCGGCTCAGCACGGTCCGACCCAGCGCGGCTCGGCACGGCTGAGCTCGGCTCTGCTCGGCTCAGCTGAGCTCGGCTCTGCGCGTCCCGGCTCGGCTCAGCGCGGGCCGACCCAGCGCGGCCGAGCCCGGCCCGGCTCGGCCCAGCTC